CGAGTGTCCGGGGGGGCTGCCCTGCCGGCGCTGCGCCCACCTGGCCTTCGACCCTGGTGTGGACAGGCTGTCGGAGCCAGGGGTGAAGGTCCAGGGGCTGCAGGCGTATGTGACGTACACCTTTGAGATCCAGGCTGTCAATGGCGTGTCCGACCTGAGCCCCAATCCGCCCCAGTCTGAGTCGGTCAACGTCACCACCAACAAGGACGGTGAGACGTGGGTGGTGCCCCTCACTCCCGACCCTTAGCCCCTGCCAGCCCAGCCCTGGGCTCCGCAGCCCTGCCGGTGCCCCTCCCTCCTGCCCCACAGCCCCTGCCAGCCCAGCCCTGGGCTCCGCAGCCCTGCCGGTGCCCCTCCCTCCTGCCCCACAGCCCCTGCCAGCCCAGCCCTGGGCTCCGCAGCCCTGCCGGTGCCCCTCCCTCCTGCCCCACAGCCCCTGCCAGCCCAGCCCTGGGCTCCGCAGCCCTGCCGGTGCCCCTCCCTCCTGCCCCACAGCCCCTGCCAGCCCAGCCCTGGGCTCCGCAGCCCTGCCGGTGCCCCTCCCTCCTGCCCCACAGCCCCTGCCAGCCCAGCCCTGGGCTCCGCAGCCCTGCCGGTGCCCCTCCCTCCTGCCCCACAGCCCCTGCCAGCCCAGCCCTGGGCTCCGCAGCCCTGCCGGTGCCCCTCCCTCCTGCCCCACAGCCCCTGCCAGCCCAGCCCTGGGCTCCGCAGCCCTGCCGGTGCCCCTCCCTCCTGCCCCACAGCCCCTGCCAGCCCAGCCCTGGGCTCCGCAGCCCTGCCGGTGCCCCTCCCTCCTGCCCCACAGCCCCTGCCAGCCCAGCCCTGGGCTCCGCAGCCCTGCCGGTGCCCCTCCCTCCTGCCCCACAGCCCCTGCCAGCCCAGCCCTGGGCTCCGCAGCCCTGCCGGTGCCCCTCCCTCCTGCCCCACAGCCCCTGCCAGCCCAGCCCTGGGCTCCGCAGCCCTGCCGGTGCCCCTCCCTCCTGCCCCACAGCCCCTGCCAGCCCAGCCCTGGGCTCCGCAGCCCTGCCGGTGCCCCTCCCTCCTGCCCCACAGCCCCTGCCAGCCCAGCCCTGGGCTCCGCAGCCCTGCCGGTGCCCCTCCCTCCTGCCCCACAGCCCCTGCCAGCCCAGCCCTGGGCTCCGCAGCCCTGCCGGTGCCCCTCCCTCCTGCCCCACAGCCCCTGCCAGCCCAGCCCTGGGCTCCGCAGCCCTGCCGGTGCCCCTCCCTCCTGCCCCACAGCCCCTGCCAGCCCAGCCCTGGGCTCCGCAGCCCTGCCGGTGCCCCTCCCTCCTGCCCCACAGCCCCTGCCAGCCCAGCCCTGGGCTCCGCAGCCCTGCCGGTGCCCCTCCCTCCTGCCCCACAGCCCCTGCCAGCCCAGCCCTGGGCTCCGCAGCCCTGCCGGTGCCCCTCCCTCCTGCCCCACAGCCCCTGCCAGCCCAGCCCTGGGCTCCGCAGCCCTGCCGGTGCCCCTCCCTCCTGCCCCACAGCCCCTGCCAGCCCAGCCCTGGGCTCCGCAGCCCTGCCGGTGCCCCTCACTCCCGACCCTTAGCCCCTGCCAGCCCAGCCCTGGGCTCCCCCAGCCCTGCCGGTGCCCCTCTCACCGGACCTGCAGCCCTGCCGGTGCCCCTCACTGCTGACCTGCAGCCTTGCCAGCCCTGCCCTGGGCTGCCCCCCAAATGGACTGGATTGGGGATGGGGGGCTGCTGTGTTTCCCCACCGTGACTTGGTGTCTCCCCGCAGTGCCCCTGCCCGTGGCTGAGATCCTGCAGGCATCTGTCTCCCCCAGTGGGATGCTGCTGACCTGGCCGGTGCCCAGCCCCCTCAGCGGGCGCATCCTTGACTATGAGGTGAAATACTATGAGAAGGTGAGTGGGGGAAGGTATGAAGAGGAGCAGGGAGGGGACCAAAGCTTGGAGGATCAGGATGGGGCTGTGGGGGGAGGAGTGGTCAGGGGCAGCATGTAGAGGGGGATCGGAGGGACAGTGTGGGGAGAGTGACTGGGGAGCATGGGGTGGATTGAGGGGCCAATGGGGGGTAGCAGGATCTCAGGGATCATAGAGGCCTTGAGATGGGGCTGGAAGGCAGGGATACCTCGGAGGGAGGGAAATCTCTGAGCCACAGAGTTGGGGCTAACCCCTCTCTTTCTCTCAGGGTGCGGCGGGCGGGGGGGGGCCCAGGCTTGTTGGCTGCACCGTGGGGCACTGTATGGGGTGCAGGTCCGCGCCCGCTCTGAGGCCGGCTACGGAGACTTCGGGCCAGAGATTGTCTTCCCCACGCAGGGCAGCGGTGAGTCCCCTCTCCCCCAGCCTGGCTAGTCCCCCCCTCCTGAACTGTCTGTCCCCCTGGGTACAGAGGGCAGTGGGCTGGTTCCAAATGGTGCTGATGCTCAATCCTGGGTGTTGGGTCCTTGTGCGAGGTTCAGATAGTGCCAGGTTGCACGAGGATGAAGGTTGTTCATGTGTGTCAGGTTGCACATAGATGGAGGTTGCAAACGGAGGAAAATTGCACGGGCCTGTCAGGTTGATGTGGATGAAAGTTGCACATAGGTGTCAGGTTGCACGAGTAAGAAGGTTGCACAAGAATGAACGCTGAACGAGGATGAAGGTTTCATGTGGTGTCTAGTTTGCATGATGTTGAAAGCTGCACAAGGATGAAGGTTGCATGTGGTGTCTAATTTGCATGAGGTTGAAAGCTGCATGTGGAGGAAGGTTGCACGAGGATGAAGGTTGCACAAGAATGAACACTGCACAAGGATGAAGGTTTCATGTGGTGTCTAGTTTGCATGATGTTGAAAGCTGCACAAGGATGAAGGTTGCATGTGGTGTCTAGTTTGCATGAGGTTGAAAGCTGCACGAGGATGAAGGTTGCATGGGGGTGCTAGGCTGCAGGTGAGGCTGGACACACGGCACTCCTTTGCGTGATGCCGCCCTGGCCCGCTGCCCACCGGGTGTGCCCAGAGACTGGCTTCTGTTGCTGCTGGAGGCCTCCAGCTCTTGGTGGGATGTGCAGCC